AAAGTTTTAGGAAGGCCCTCCATTGTCAATTTCTTTCCCACGGGGGCCTGGTACTCCGTGAACCCCGGTCCACAGAACACAGGACTCTCCCCACCCCCCCCACCCCCCGGCCCGGGGGGTTTCTAGGGGGCCCTGAACCGTCTTCTCCTACCCCCGACAAGTTGCTCCTGTGGGCTTACCCCGATTTCTCTCCCCCCCCCCCGCCCCCCCACCCAGAGGCTGCTGTGGGGCCCCTGACCCCGTGTTATCCTCCCCCCCCCCAGGGTCTTGCTGTGGGGCCCTGACCCCGTGATCTCCTCCCCCCACCCAGGGTGCTGCTGTGGGGCCCTAACCCCGTTCTATCCCCCCCCCCCGCCCCCCCCCCCCAGGGTGCTGCTGTGGGGCCCGGCGGCCGTGGAGCACCACAAGACGAGCCGCAGCCTGGGCAAGTCGCTGTGGCAGCAGCCGAGCGCCGGGGACATCCTCCGCCTGCTGGACCGCGACCAGATGATGAAGACCATCCTCCACTTCCCCCAGAACCGGAGGCTGCTGCCCCCTGAGGTGCGGGGGGCCGGGCAGAGCCACCAGGGAGCACACACGGGCGGGGGTGGGGGGCCCTCCGAGGGCTCCACTGTACCCTCAGCTGTAGAGGCCTGAAGTACAGGCTGTTTCCTGTTAACTTCTTACTGGGTCACACGTCAGCCACATACACAGGCCCCCTACAACCACCCGGGGCCCCGAATACCCACCCAGGACCCCCTATACCCTCCCAGGGACCCCTATACTCACCCAGGGACCCCTATACCCACCCAGGGACCCCTATACCCACCCAGGGACCCCTATACTCACACAGGGCCCCAAATACCCACCTAGGGCTCCCTATATCCACCCAGGGCCCCAAATACCCACCCGGAGCCCCATATATCCACCACAGTTATCAGCACTTGTTTCGCTTATAACTTGTCCCCAAAGATCATATTCAGATACAAGCACTAGTTGTTACAGAATCATTTCAATGCTCTCGGATGTTCCGGGCAGTTTGGACTCGGATGGTGGGTGAGCGCCCCCTGGTGTTACACATAAGAGTGGGGACAGGACACACACCTCTGTTTCGGGCTCTCACAGGACACACAGGACCCGATATTCAGGGACGGGAGCCCCGGTGACCTCGATGGCCTGTACGACCCCTGCTTTCTGCTCCACCTCTTCAGTGAGCTGACCCGGCCAGGTAACCGCAGCTGGGGTGCCCGCGGGGCCCAGGGGCTGGGGTGGGGGTGCCCGCGGGGCCCAGGGGCAGGTTTCTCACCGCAGCTGTCCCTGTGCAGCTTATTAGGAAGCTCTCCACTGTCTTCTCACCTTTCATGCCAGTGAGTTTCAGCAAAGTGACAGCTAATGTTTCAGATACACAGGGACTTTTAAAAATACGTGTATTTTTTTGTTTCAGAAAGGAAGGGAGAGGGAGAGAGAGAGAAACATTAATGAGAGAGAATCACTGATCAGCTGCCTCCTGCACGCCCCTAGTGGGGATCGAGCCCACAACCCGGGCATGTGCCCTGACCAGGAATTGAGCCGTGACCTCCTGGTTCATAGCTGGACGCTCAACCACTGGTCCACGCTGGCCGGGCTACAGTGATTTGAAAAACAAAAAGCACAGCTCTAGCTGGGTTTGCTCAGTGGATAGAGCATCAGCCTGCGGGCTGAAAGGTCCGGGTTCGATTCTGGCCAAGGGCACAGGCCCAGGTTGTGGGCTCGTTCCCCAGGGGGGGCGTGCAGGAGGCGGCTGATCAATGACTCTCTCTCATCATTGATGTTTTTCTCTCCTTCTCCCTTCCTCTCTGAAATCAATAAGTATATATTTTTAGACACATAATTCTATAACGTCCCTCCGTCCTGGACATTGATCCTGATTCTCAGCGACAGGGCCTTTTCTGAGGTCTCCCCGGGGAGCCGTCAGCCACCCACAGGTCTTACCTTGGGAAGGAGGGAGCCACGGAGCTTGGTTCTGGCTGTTACGTGTGTGTTTGGAATTGCATTTCGTGTCCAGTGGCCTGAGGGTGGGGTCTCGGTGGCTGGGTGCAGAGAGACAGGAAGGAAAGGGGCCTGTCTGCTCACCCGGCCCGGCCAGCGGGTGTGGCCGCGGCTCCCCAGGCTCCTCCCCGCCGAGGACGTGCAGGTGTGTCAGCGACCGAGACCCGCTGTTTGTCCTGATTCTCCCTTTTCCAACTTGAAATTGTCTCCATTGTAACGGATGGCTGCTCCCCCTGATGCCCACAGA